GGTACCCCGGTTTGATTACAGCTGCGAGCGATTTACTTTGAGTTGATTTCCAATATGGTGTCGAGAACCTGCTGAAGCAATGACTAACCACTGAATTTAAAACTGCCTAGTTAAATAACAAAACAGCCAAAAATTGCTGGGGTTGGGTTTGCAGCGTCCTGTAAAGGATACGGCCATGGAAGGAAAGTTGAAGGGGTGAGACAGAAGGCAATAATACATGTGAAAGGATAATGTTAACAGGTGGACATAAAACAACTAGGAAGACAGTACTTGATTGACAGATTATTTTTTATTTCAGTCACCGAAGCGGTTGATCCGAGCCACACTGTCGTAAATTTTGCATATAAATAATCGCAAGTAATGTTGGAGTACTGAACTCTTAGTATTTCGATCTTTCTTACTCGGGTAACTGTTCTAGATAATACGCTCTAAATCACTAAACATTTTTGGTAGTGATAAAGACGCCTCTAAAGTTGACCCCATATTTTCAACGAAAAGTGATCTCTAAATGTTGACCACCTCTGTAAGTTGCATACTAACCACTTAGAATATGGCACATAATAGTAATTTACCTCTACAATTTGACCAGATAGTTGTAACCAGAGCACTTCACGGCGCAATGCTCTGTTGAACTTCTCTTGATCTAAGGGGCGCCGTCGCAGAGAAAAAACATTGTGGGGGGTGGAGGGTGGGGACGAGTCACGTAGTACCCGGTGAGGAAAGTTGTATGTGATCCACAGTGGCATTGTAAGGTCACATATATACACACACATGCACATTTTGAGAAGTTAAAAACATATTTTGCAATTATGTCACCTCTCCCTTCCCAGTGATGATACCTGCTGCGGTCCGCACTCCCTCCCACCCTCTCACCCGCACACTATTTCCTAATCCCCTGAGGGAACACCCTAATATTTGGGTGAGGGGTCTCAATTGCGCGTTTGCTATGTTTTATTATCTAATAATAATATTAAATAATACAAAAAAACATATAAGCAATTACTTCACCCCCAAAAATATATACTCTCATATAGTTAACTAGGGTCATTTAGTCCACTCGCAAATTTCTTGGACCCCACTCCCCTCCTTTTCCGTTCAATTTACGTGAGGTCCTAGGTTCATTTAAAAAAAAAGTAAAAGGGGGAGGGGGTGGGGTCAGTTCGCCCAGGTTCCGGCGCAGTTGTTGGAACTTATTTGAAACCGCTGAAATTATGATGAAAATAAGCCGCGTTAAACAATGACCGTAAGCTAATAAATAACGAATCATTGCACCCGACCACAAGAATTACCCGTAATTTCGTCAACCCTCATTAAAAGAATTACAAGAGAGACAAAATTGTTTTACACATAGTTAATAAAGAGGCGCTGACACATAGAAGACGTTGAGCGGATTCTCAGTACTCTCACACTCTGTGCCGAGGTGGCGGACAGAGTTCAAATGACCTAATCCCCCAGATTCTAACGCCACCACACATGGCTTACCCATTCAAATGAGAGCGCGGCGGGCGGGGGGGGGGGGGGGGGGGGAGACTTGAGACTCTCTCCCAGAAAATCATGTTTAGAATTTTGTGTGTAGGCTTACTTCTTCATAAATATTATATTATTTTATATGTTTGTTTGTTTTGCGTAAACCCAGGCGGAAAGACCTGGCTGTTCGTTCATTTCTGGACTTGGTTTCCCCCCCCCCCCCCAGGACCTGAGTTTTGCGTGTGCAATCGTTTTACAGATCCTGTTTATTTGTACAGAGACTGGTGGTTCCTTGCCTCTCCGGCACCCGTTTGGTCGACTGTTACGACATGCTTTTGTGAAGGCAGTGGCTCTATTCCCTCCTCCCCCACATTGGGCTCCCAAAACCCACACAGGGATCAAATGTAATATTTATTTGGATGTCAGTAAAGTGTTGTTATAAAATATTTTAACAAAAATTACGTACTTAAAGTTCCTATCCAAGACGTTTAATTTGTGGGTGGGTGTGGAAAGGGAGGGGGGGGGGGGCTCTAAGTGTTTTCTTTTTGTCCCCCCATCCCTGCTGATGTGCTATATCATTAAATCTTTCTGACAGTGTCAAACTTGCCGCGAAAACATTTCCTGTCTAACTGTGACATCTCATCTATTTGAAAAGGAACGGCGAGGAGAACAACGTGGAAAAAAAAAGGGGGGGGGGGTGATAGTGACATTAATCCGTAGGCTGCCACACGATGCAGAAAATTGGCGCTCTGACACTGAGTACCTAATACTGCATGTAACCCCCCCCCCCCCCCCCCTTTTCCTTACCCCCCTCTTTTTTTCCGTCTTTGATCTATCTTCGAGGTCTTGAAGTATTTATTGTTAACTTACTAACGCCCTCTCCCCTTTTCCCGTCTTTCACCCATCTTCGACTTCTTGAGGTATTGTAAGGTACAACCCTCCAATAATGACGGTTCTCTCAACGAGCTCTTCTGTTTAAAAAAAATATATAACCAGTTGGAAATAATTATAGGTTGCGCTTTTGACATGCATGACTGTCACGTGATGTGGTCTCCATAACAGTTCTCAACCTGATATCTTCACCCCCCCCCCCCTCTTTTTTTTTTCCTCCACACAAACACACACACACATACATATACACACAAACACATCATACAAAATCTCTCATCGTTTTTGATAAAATGTGTCAATTTGCTGTTATTGTATAACATTATTAGTTAAGTATAAGATTAAGCTAAAAAGAAACAAATCATAGGCACTATTTTTAAAAATAAGCACGTTAAACAATGTATTCATAGGAAACTAGAACGTATGTATGCATGTATGTACCCCACCAGGACAGCACACAAAGTGCCACCATGCGGAGGAGCATCACCCGCGGAGAGGTCTCGTAAACCGAGTTCAGCCGTTAGGCCAAATTTAAGTCCCAGTTATATTTAGGACCCCCGCAGAGGCCAGTGTGGGTCTTCAAAATAACTTAAAATTGCATCGTATATGTAGACGACGCTAGCAATGTGAACTGTGTCTGCTATCCTGTAATAATCAAATCAAATTTAAAAAATGCTTCAAGAAATTAGAATATATGTTATGTTGTGTTATTTTATCACAATTTACGTCTTTGCATATTGGGCATTCCCATGCATGCTCCGTCCCCTCTGATGCAGTAGCCACACCAAGGTTTCTCTACTGATTTTTCCCATGAAGATTTAGGATTTCGAGGCCATATTTAGTGGTGGGAAGGAAAATATACCCACTATCAACAGATACACGTGTTGTAGAAGGCGACTAAATAAAGAATGATTAAATCGGATGTGTTTGGCCAAAAGCTCAGATATCGCAACCTCGCTGTAAATTAAAACACAATGTGCAACTGCCCTTTTAAGGACCCTTAATAAGAAAATCATATGCTGACACCTAGTGGCACCGCAAGGCCAAGTGGAACCCAGTGCGGAAAATGTCCTGCCACACCCATATCCCCATACACACGCGCGTGCGCACACGCACACACATTTTATGTTAAAAGCACATACATGTGTTTTTACCATTTCTGTACCCCGCCCCTCAGTGACGACAACCGGCACTGCCGACATGTTCACTGAGTCATCAGGTATTCATATCTTGCGGTCTCCAACAACCTGTATCAGATAACATGCTGACAGTCAATCATCAGCATGTCCCTTACAGAACGTCGCTCTCTTTACAGCACACACAAAAGTGTCTCTTTCTGTAGCCAATGTTCCAGTCCTGTGTTCTTTCACAGCCAAGGCGTCTTCAATGTCTAGTATCGACGTGAATTAACGACGATATTAAAACAAAAACTTCAAGTGTCGACATGCTCTGTAAATTCCGTGCACTACGTTGCAGAAGTTTCAAATGTATAACTTGTGCGGTTAGTTCTGGTCTTATCAAAAAGGCGCTGAAAGTTAATTCGTTACACTAAAAATATAACCATGCCATTTCATAAATATTTCTCATTTTAGGCTAAACGCGGTTGTCTGTATCATTCTATTTCAAACCCAGAGAAAAGAACAAAATATGGCGTAGGCATTACCGACAAGACATTCTCATAATGGGCTAGAGAAGAGTCAGTTCTTTCTACACACGCCCTTGAGTGAGCAAAGATAGCTTTGATAAAAAAGTTATAAAATAAACCATATGCAGAATATTGGACGATACATAATTATTGACACTGAAGAAATTAGAACTTAGACAGAACCATGGCACTAATATATCCAAAAGTACATTATGGAAAATTATAAGAGGTGCAGGGACTTACGCCTCCGTGATAAACAGTGGCAGAAACTCCTCTAACTTTCATCAGACTTCTATTCACGTCAGTACTGTAACATTTGTACAACAGATGTACAAGTGGTGAAAATAACAAAGAAGGCCACTGTTTCGATAGAAGTGAGCAGTCTATATATTATTTATGCATAAAACATTAACGTCGAGATGAAAAATTGGATCCCGTACAGAAAAAAAAAAAAAAAAAAAACGTTCCTGGGAAAGTAATTACTGAGAAATTATCAAAAATACAACAGCACGAATTAGAAAAAGAGTACTTTTCCTTAGGCATCCCTTTTCAGCTCTGTTATAACATAAACTTTGTGGTGAGTAGCACACATTTTTAAACACTTTGTGGTGAGTGCAAGCACCTCCAGAAAAAAAAAATGTTTGTCAGGCATTGTGGGTCTCTGGACAAATAGGTGTGCTGGAGTCCCTACAACAACCACTCACAGGAAAGAAATGTAAATGGTCGATAATATTCACACATATTTTCACTGGACAAGTGCCCAGGAGCCCCATGCGTTAAGACGGCACTGCTGCTCGTATGTCCTCAATACTGTTTTAGTACTCTGTAACCTGCAAGTGGCACATAACATAAGTTGAGAACCATTGCTCAAGGTATAACAAGTGAACCCTGGTCATCCCGACCCAACAAGCTTGTGTTGTGTTGGGGAACGTTTTTTAGCGTCTGCAAACTTCAGTCTAGAAGTCCGATAAGCTGCAACAAGCTGATAAACGCGTGAAAAATGCCGTTTTTTAGAAGTACAACTATTGTCAGGTCTGCTGTCATTGGCAGAGGTAAGTTATCAGTAGCATGATATCATGCCATGAAATGTGTTGTTATCCCTGTATTTCAGTATAACAACAACGATGACCGACGGCAGTTGTTCGGTATCTTCACCATGTCTGAGGTGGGTTGTGGCCGTGACGCAGCAGTTTGCTAGCTAGTGTATGTACCCAGTGTGTTAGTAAAGTTGTTTTGTTAAACTCTCTCTTGAGTAGTCGTAATCTTTTTGGGAGATATTATAAGCATTGTGATATTTAATATTAGTAATAAAAAACGCTTCTGGAAGTTTGTAAAAATGGGAAAATAATCCATCTGAGATATAAGAAACCAACTAACTGGAAGTCCAAAGGTAACCCCTTAAGTACCACTGTTAATTATATTCAGAGAGATACTTTCATTGCTGCGTACATTCTGTTAAAAAATTCACTGAAGGCTTTTAAATAATTTGTTTTAAATGTTGGTAGAATATTAGAAAGACAAGGCTCAAGAAATAATCTACTAGAGATCATTGCTAGTCATTAAATGATGATTATATGATATAAGGAGAGGTCATTTGAAACCGCTTTCCTATGGCTGTATTACAGAGACCTGAGAGAGACATCACCAGGTGTGGCTTAGTTGAAGACAGCATTCGTAAAGAATGGTAGTCAGAAGATGTCACCGTAAGCATTCAGGCAAGCATCCCATTGCTTAGGTAGGCAGCAGATGCTGTCCACTTAAAGATTCTGGCTGCTCAGAGAGAAAGATGAGAGAGAGAGAGATCATCTGTCATAGAAAATAAATTTGTGGGAAAGCCACATCAGCACAGAAGCAAGCATTTGGAAAGGGAGTGGGGGAATTGGGCACCCAAATCAAAATATGGAATGTCAGTATTTTTGCATAGGCTGACTTTATTTTCTCTAATTGTGACAGTTTCATTATACTATTAACTTTTCTTTCTCCCTACTGATCCATTCTTTCATGACCTATAATTATTCCCACCTCTATATATGTATAAAGTCACCAGTTCTGTTGGCTGTTTATTGTACACTTTTCATTTTAGGTTGGCTTTTCCCATTTTAATAGTGAAAAATGTACTGTTGTATGCATCAAGAAAGCCGACCATCCAGAAAGCAATGGTAAACTACTGGACGTAAATTTGCCTAGAAAAACCACACAACGGCCAGGGGCTGTTGGGGTTAGTTCTGCAACGTCCTGTAAAGGATACGCAACTAACCTTAACTGTTGTATGCATGTGAGACATGTACAGTGAGCACATTGCTGAAAAATGTGGTTTCTGGGGTAAATGCAATATATATATATATATATATATATATATATATATATATATATATATATATATATATATATATATATATATATATTTGATTTGATTCAAGAACCGACATCACAGCACTCGGGGCATTCCCATAAGCGCTCCGTCCCCATCTTCAGCAGCCAGCAAAGAGTTCCGATACTAATGATGCCAGTAGTATTCTGATTAAAAGTCCCTCTTGCCTTTCCTCTGATCCTCGAGCATCTGCTAGAACCTCTCGTCACTCCCCACTGCATCAATCTCACCAGACTGGTGATCCATTTGCTCCTTCGAACTGTACACGCTCTCCCACAAGGCACTAACCACGTATGCCTTATCATGTATATGTTCCTCTAAGTTGTGCAGAGCCAGCCAGTCTGTCCGCCTGTTCATTCCCCAACACACCAGTGTGCCCCGGTTATAAATACATATAAGTATGCAGGTATAGAAATAAGACATTCCTTTGAATAAAAATGTGACAGCTGGAGAATGATTAGCAAAATTAATTGTATACAGTGAGGAATTGTAGTGGGAAAAAAAATAATAAACTCAAAAACTCGGTGACATCTTATAAATAATTGGAAAGGTGCAAAGAAAAGACAACCTTCGCTAAATAGTATGATCAAGACAAGACCACAGACCTGATGTATGATCTTACCACATGGGATAATAACCAGCGCAAAGGAGCTGATCCTCTTGGCTTTAGATGTTCTTTCAGTTGTGTTTATATGTATGTAAGCATAATATATATATATATATATATATATATATATATATATATATATATATATATATATATATATATATATATATATATATATATATATATTAGGACTGTACCAAATATTCGCTTCGTATTCGCTTCGGGGCCGAATAGTGAACCAATTGACTATTCAGTATTTGGCCGAATAGTTGTGGTCGGGCCGAATACGACTAGTAGTTACCTTACACCTGCTTCTGCATACACGTCCTTAATGCTGACAACATGGAACGATTGGTTTTGTTGGAAGCTAATGCAGCTTTCCTGCAATAACTAAGCTGTCAGTGACAATTTCCAAGTTTAGTTATTTGTTATAATACTTAGGATTCTTTTATTTCTAGTTATAAGTTAACACAGACTGACTGAAGGATGACAAACATAAAATGTTTTTAAATGTTTACTATTCTGTACGATTACTAACTAGACATGGAAAGTATCTAAACGGCCACATCCAAGTCGATAATATGAAAATCAAACGAACGGAAACATAAAAGTGCTTGTGTGCAAACTTCAACTGCTCCAACATGCTGAGAGAAGAAATACAATCTAGAATACAATTTAGAAATAAAGTATACTTTGCCCTTCAACATCTGCTAAAGTCAAAGTGTCTGTCTCACAACACTAAAATCAAAATATATAAAACGTTGATAAGACCAGTAGTTTTATATGGCTCTGAAACTTGAAGCAGAAATTAAAGAGATCAGGCCTTGTTACAGGTTTACGAAAGCAGTCTTAGACAAATCTTTGGACCCATCAAAGATGCTAACAGTGGGGAATGGAGAGTGAGAAGCAACAACGTAACACATAATCTGTTTAGATCACCATTGATCACTGGCATCATAAGAGCTAACAGACTAAAATGGTTAGGGCATATTGAAAGAATGACAGAGAAGTAAAAACTGTATACACCTGAGAGAGGAATCAGCGTAGACCACGAGGCAGACAAAAAAAGTTCGAGAGATAATGTTCAGCCAGACCTGCAAACAACTAGTGTCACAAATTGTGAAAAGAAGGCCAACCAGAGAGATGAATAGAGACGAGTTATATCTGCAGCATTAAACCTCAAGGGTTCAGAATGCTAAAGAAGAAGATGACTATTCTGTGCTACTTTATGTGAAGTAAAAGTTCAGTGTACATTTGACATTATGAATGTGTTTTTTTTAATAGATATTTTGTATACACTATTCGTATTTGTATTCGGCCAAATAGTTGGTCCCGTTTTTCGTATTCAGCCGAGTAGTGAAAATCACTATTCAGTACAGCCCTAATATATATAAATGTTTGTGGGTGTGTATTTGTGTATGTGTGTTCAAAGTATCTATATATATGTACACTTTATCATACACATAAATGAATGCATTTATGCATATATTACTCTGTGTGTACATAAGTATTAATGTGTGTGTATATATATATATATATATATATATATATATATATATATATATATATATATATATATATATATATATATATATATATATATATACACAAATGTGCACCAATTACAACCCAGAAGGGTTGAACAGGATATCATTTATTAAACTACTATTGCTACTACTACTGCTGCTGCTGGTACTAATTCTTTTGCTGCTACTACTACTGCTGCTGATGCTGCTATTACTACTGCTGCTGCTGCTGCTACTACTACTACTACTATTGCTGCTACGTCTACTACTACTACTGCTGCTGCTGCTGATATTGCTGCTACTACTATTACTACTACTACTACTGCTGCTGCTACTACTGCTTCTGCTGCTGCTACTACTAATGATTTGTGACTGTTCATTGTTTGAAATGGTGAACTAAGACCTCACATACCTCTTGGTAAGGCTCATCATGATGTTAATGTATAATACAAGTAATATTGAAACATTGAAACTAGGGCATAGCGAAACAGAAAAATTTGATGCAAGCTGCTGTTCACAAATTCTGGCCTCCTGTTTCTTAAATTCAGTTACCATCATCCATTAATGTTTCTGATTTCTCTAAGAAATCAAAGCTTATTTATAAATATATTCATTGCATTAGATAAGTCAGTCCAGAAACTGGATTAATGTTTGATCATGTCCTTTTACTGAAAAATTTGAAATTCACGACCCCCCCCCCTTCCCCCTCCCCCTCCCCCTCCCCCTTTACTGCAGCTTTGTCAAGACAGTTCAGCACCAAGCCACCAACAGCCACAATCAGAGGATCATTGGTAGTGGGAACAGCCATAGCTGGTCTGGCAGGTTATGGGTTTTACACACAATTTCGTTCTAATACAAGCAAGGATGATTTGTTGAAAGCTCTTAAAGAAGGCCTCAAAGCACCAGCTCTGACTGCAGCAGCTCCACCAGCAAGTCAGCCAGCTGTAAGTGGTTTTGTAAGGCATTGTTAGCTGTAGAAATGAAATTAATCAAATGGCTAAAGGAATCAACCAAGAACTGATGTCACTGTACTCTGAGCATTTCCACGCATGTTTTGTCCCCTTTCCTCATTAGCTCATTAGACAGCAAAGAGTTCCCATACTGATGGTGCCGATTGCAACGGATCAACAATCTGCCCTATCAGCTAATCAGGTAAAAGTGGGAATAGTTAGACCAGTTCTTCATCTCACAACCTTTTTTTTTCAAAGGTCATTTCCAAATACTTGAAAATTATCTAGTAACCTCCCTTTGTTGTTTACAAGACTTCATTTTGGAGGTGGGGAAAAGATCCAGTTCTCCTTAAGAGACATTCTTTGAAAGTGAACAATTGAGGATTTGCAGATATGTGATGTTTTGGACCAGAAGGCACTAATATCACAGCTCAGTTATAAACACAGTGTTCAAACCACCCTTTTTGGGCAAAGTCAGAAATGAAAATAAGCTTATAATGTATTTTTTTTTCCTTAGTCAACTTCAGATCCATGACTTAGCAACCTGAACAGCAGAAGAATGAAATATAGCAATGGACATGAAGAAAACTAGGAAGCTGCATTAGCGCAGTCGCTAGACACATGCCTGTTGGCTCCAGGTTTTTGTGCTTGGATCTGCATTGAGACAGATTTTTATAATTAACTTAGGGTTCCCAGATGAACCCTGTTGGAAATAGGTACCAGGAACTGCTTTGGGAAATAACGGTTTTAACCTCATTACCCATCAAATACAGTTTGATCTATAAAATATAAGCTTAGAACCATATGTCCAGTGTACCAGTGTTGTTAAAAGAGAAAACTGAGGCTTGAGAACATAACTAAGATATTTTCAGAAAAGCTACCGTTGAAATATGTCACCTATCTCTAATACATAGAGAATATATCAGTATGGAAGCATGCCAGCATCAGTCAAATTTAGATGCAACAAGGTAGAGTGACCATATGTTCCGTTTTCACCTGTACAGTCTAGTGTTTGGGTGTGTCCTAGCTGTTACGTCGGTACTTCAAAAAACGTCAGTTATCCTTTTTTTTAATGAAAATCTAGGAATAAGCTTTAGATTAGAACACACATTTATAGTTATCTATAGGCCTTATTATATTTCAAAATCTTAGATACTTTTAATGCCTTAAATATATTGATGGCTAATAGGGAAAAAACCTAGATTAATACACTACGCTAGTGAAACCAATAAAAACAAGGCATGCAATCTAACTAGACAAAATAGGTTAAATGGGACAGTGTGCACAAATACAGATTGAAAGGGAAAACATTTAGATCTATACATTACATAAAGGACCCTTTTCCACACTTTCAGGGGTATTGTGCAATTAGGACTAGACCTATATTTTATACTCCAGTCAGCACTCAATGGTCAGCATCACACTGGCCACCTGTGTTTCCCAGAACTTTACCTGGTACTCAATCAAGGCTGGGTCCACCTGGCAGTAAAGGTTATTTATAAAAAAAAAAAAAATCCTGTTTCACCAAGACACAAACTACAACTTTCCGATCTGCAGCCAAGCATTTTGTCGCTACACCATGGCGGCTCCCATACACTACATTACTGGAACCAATATAAACAAGGCATGCAGTCCAACTCAAGAAGAAAGTTTTAATATTATTTAATTAGTATGGCTTATATAGTTTATAGGCCTATGTATTCTCATGTTCTTTTTCTTTTCTCGTCTCACTGAAACCAGGCTGTAGCTCAGTGCTATGGTTTTCTGTATTTGTCTTGTGCTTCTTGGGTGATGGATTTGTTCATTTCTTTGCAGGTTTTATATACCAATTATCCATCTTTTTCTTGGTCTTCCCCTCACCTTCCTCCCAGATGTTCTGCTGTAAAAAGATTCATATGCAGTTTAGTCTGGCTGCATTTTCACTAGATGACCAAACCATTTCATTCTTTGTCTGTCCCATTTTCAACTCAAAATATGTGCATTAGTGGGATGTCCCGTTTTCAGCTCAAAGTATTAGTGGGATGACCCGTCTTCAGCTCAGGATATTATAATTACCCTAGAATAAGGTAAAGTGGTTAATGCATTAATTTGCCAACATGATGATACTAGATTTAGTTCTTCTTCTTCTTCTGCCTTTCTATCCCCCAATGGAGCATAGGCCCTCAACCAACTCACGCCAAGTCGTTCTATCCTTTGCCATTGCATGGAGCTCTCCTCATGTCCTCCCCATCTTTTTAACTTCATTCTCCAGCTCTCTTCTCCATGTGTTTTTTGGCCTTCCTTTATTCCTATGCCCCTGTGGGTTCCAATGCAAAGACATTCTAGTTATGCTGTTCTTCTGTTTTCTCAGTGTGTGATTTAATTCTAAGGGTTGAAAATTTTGACTTGGTATGCGGCCTTTGTTTGGATTATGTCCTGCCTGCTAGAACTTGTATGAGTCAAAATGAGCGATGATACTGTCTGCTTACCTTGTTTACCACTCTCGAGATAAAGACACAGGAGTATGTAAATGACTGCAGAAAAGTACCACCCTAAAATAGCCCAAACAAGCCATAATAGTATAGTCTGGAATGACTGAAACATCCTGAGCAAAAAGGCAGAAGCAAAGTTCTTAGGACAGTTGTTTAGTATAAGTCAAACCTGATTAGCCTCAACCAGGTCCAAGTAGAGAAAAGAGACACACACAAAAAAAGAGAGAAAAAAACAACTAGAATTTCAGATTCCTGAAGTTTAATTGGAAGGGGACTCTCCTTTCGAACAGGGACTCTCCTTCTAAACAGGGACCCTCCTTCCAAACAGGGACTCTCCTTCCAAACAGGGACTCTCCTTCCAAACAGGGACCCTCCTTCCAAACATGGACTCTCCTTCCAAACAGGGACTCTCCTTCTAAACAGCAACATCTGCTACTCCTTCCATTCTTAGCACCATCCTAGTAGTCACTTGACTTCTCAGCAAGGTAAAGTGAGGTTACATTTTTGTTTGTTTATTTTTTATTGTATTTATGTACCTTAGTATTAGATAGTGTATAAATTATTCATGCAGCCTCATCAGTGTATCATATGTCAGTAACCTTATGTTCGTTATGTGAATGGATTAATCATCCTCCCTTTATTTCTTATTGCAAAATTCATTTGGTAAACATTTTGTTTGTTATACCTCTAAGGATCTGAAGTAGATTAACCCTACCAGACCTGAGGCCCTGAACCTAACTGTCCCTATAACCTGACCTCCTGGGCATTACCGCAAAAAAAACCTACATGATATACAAAAAAATATTAGTTACATGCAAACGAGTGGCTAGAATATGATAAAACTTGGAGACATTGTAGAAAATAGGCTTACCTTTTATCTAGCGCCAATATTCCACCTTTGTGTGCGAATTCACTCGTCAGGATCAACTTTGTTTCACAAAGTGAACACCAGATGTTGCCGTTTGATGGACACCCCCCCCCCCCCCCCCTTTTTCTCCTACTATCGATCTTTTTCAAGATTTATAATTTTCAAGATTTTCCTTATCATTCGTGCTCTCACTGACAGTGTCACTTTCAAGAACGTATTCTTTATGAAATTATCACAGATAATGAATATAAATATATATATTACATAGTATGAATAAACCAAAGTATCAGTCACCTGTTGGACTGTGAAAAGCCTAGAACTTGGTTCATCAGCCGCTCGTTTTATTGTGAATTTTCATAATTTTTCCACATAAAACAACACAAATATAATCCACACATGCGGGCAGACATTTGCAATGTCTAACAAAGAGGATTTATAATGATTGGGTGGTTATTTTCAGTCCGTGACGCATCGTCTTCCTATACTACGCAAAAAGCCGAAAATTAGGGCCAGCGGTATAGAGACTGGTTTAGAAATCCCCGGTAAACCGGACCAGCGGTCTGGTAGGGTTAAGTACATATACCAAGATGCCACTGTAGTTTTTTAACTCCTTGTGCCTCATTGTATAATTTTAACTTTTTTTTCCAAACAGCTGTTATTTGAGCTTCTTTTGTTCCATGTTGTCACCACTTGAGTTCGTGCTCTAGACATAGTTTGTCTGAAAGTAACAACAGAAAGGGTTGAAAAGTGAATTATACAGACTGACTGACTTTGTTTTGTGCCATTGACAATGAGAGGCATGCATCAGTTTTACTGTCATTTCATCATGTTTTGCAGGTATGGTCTCAAGGAAAAGACCATGCCCTTTATTTGTGGATCCACCTGAAGCCGACAGCAAATCCTAAAGAAGTGGCCAAAGTAGCAGCCAGACTTCAGAAATTTGTTGATACTGTTGCAGACCCAGCACTGAAAGATGAGTCAGATGAAGTTTTGGCAGGGGTGGGATTTGGACCAAATTTTTATGCCCAGGTAAAGATCTTCATTTGTAATCTTTGCATAGCATATATTGTTGTTAAAAGTCCTGTCAGATTGAGTTGTTAAGCTTTGTCCAAATAATCTGAGACCTGAGATTTGTTGGTTCTCTTCTTGCATGCAAGCAACACCATTTTTCCCAAACCTAGTTTTGGTCTCTTCAGGTGACGTCTGCAACATGAAGGCAATACATTTATCACCATCAGGTGACTTGTAGTCTCACATGAAGAGTATTTAGTCCTCAAGAGGTTTATCACAGAGTATCATCACAGTCTGCAGAGACTGATCCAGTATGTATAGACAGAGGACATGCACTCAGACTGCATCTGACGGGTATTTGCCGGCTGCTAAAGAAAGGGTTAGGGTGCTTATGGAATACTGAGTTTTCATTACTGGAGCATCAGTGTTTAAGCTTTCTATGTTCTATAAATAAATCACGGCTTGATTTGGTACAGTAAAGCTATAACATTTCTTCTATGCCTGACAAGAGTAAAAAACTTGTTTTTATTTCTTAAAATGAATGGGGAAAAAATGTATAAAAAGTTAAGTGATAGAAGGGATACACAAACACATGCACTTATACACAAATTCATGTACGCACACATGCAGACACACATGTTCACACACGTGTGCATGATCAGTCTGTATCAGTGAACAAGAATAATTACCTGTAAAACTAATACCACAGTCACAAGTAAGTAATCTGTCAATAAACAACATAAAACCCTAAGTTCAGGCAAGGAAAATATAGAAGGTCATGAAGAGTTTTGCTCATCACTTGGACCTGTTTGAAAAGGGGGGTTTCTAATGCTAGAACATGTAAAGACGTATGAATCTATCTGTGACTTGGCAGTCCTTTGTGATTTGTGTTGTAACGTTAAGACATTAGCAATAAATTTGTTTTCATATTATTATTACAAATCTGCAGGTGGGAGGAAGAACCAGAAAAAGCTATGTTTATCCTCATAGAAAGGGGGCCTTAGGGGAAATGCCAAGTTCTGGTGAGTTTGTGTTTTTATTGCTTTTATTGTGAAATTATGTTGTCTGCTATGAGCTCTTTATTTACATTGTTTTTTACATTCAGGTGACTTGTACCTTAAGTAAAGGTCTTATCTCCTTAGACATGTGATATCTCTAAGAAGATACTCCGTACATCACCCAGGGTGCCAGCTTTCTCTGTGTTGGTTTTGTGAATCTCATGCAAGACTCCTGTAGATAAAGAGACGAAGAGGATTCCACACAAATGAGGCAACATCATGTCCCACGAAACAGTGGCCACAGTCATCCTAGAGACAGGATCGACTTCTTTCTTCAAAGTTGGAGTACCTCTGCCGAGAGGCAGGGAACATAGTGAAATAAATGTACATGCAAAACTCAGGTCCTGGAAAGCCAGAAGTCCAAATGGAAGAACAACCAGGACTTTCTGCCAGAACTTACAGCCGATGAACAAGAAGAAGAAGAAATGTCTCACTGACCACCTTTACTGTCCAGAAAATTTCTTGATGCTCTGTCTTAGACTGGACTACACTGGCAATGCAGATCAATTTTGAGAATTTGCCTTTCTGGAGATTTGAATCCAACCAGCAGAAAGAAAAATTAGTCATCATGTTAAGCCAGTCTTTAAAAAAATGTCTTGGATGTAGTTTTATGGAACCGTGGGTTTGTATCGGCGGGTCGAAGCAGGCTGGTTACGCAGACAGTGGATTGAGTCTTTGCAAAACTCTGTGTGCAGTTACCTTCATATTTGTCCAAGGGCATTCAGATTTTGTTGGTAATGAAAGAGCTCTAAGACTGGCAGGTGCCGCATTAATTGAAGATGGCTGGCTTATGGATTATGCAGACATTGTTAATGCCCTTAGAGAGATTGGACGTTCTGAGGATTTTGGAAGCGTGTCCACATCACTGCTAAGAGTACGAGAACTGGCAGTAAAGATCGGCACAGCCAAACATGAGAAGTAGACCAGACGTGCACAAAATCTTGTCAGCCAGGAGTGGCACTATTAACCGCATGACGCTGTGAATATGTTGAGAGGGGAATCTGAGCACCTATGGATATGTCTAGAGTGCTGTGAAGATAATCCAACTCATAATTCGTAACTCATAACTGTATGGTCAGTATTGCATGATATGTATAAACTCTATGCATGTCACTGGATTGTGCTGCCATTGAGTGTGCTCAAATGTTAACACGATTTAAATCATTTGAGATGTCTTTAGTCTGGCAAATTTGTCCAAAGTAGCACAGAAAATCAATTGCCAAGAAATCAGCAGTGTTTGTAGTGTCTATAAATGCACTATACATCATGTATGGGTGGGAAAAAGGATATGCTGAAGTAACATTGATTTCACAGAAGCAGCCATTTAGGGCATTGGAAAATCCATATACATAAAATAGGGACTGACTAAGCAACTTAAGATAATCTGTGGAACTATAGTAACACAGTCTGAATGTCTTTTTGCTTACAGAATATTTACACATATATTCTTGACAGCATCTGCGCACAGATTTCTAAACACTAATCAAAATTTTGTCTCTGTAAAATTATAATTACCTCAGAAAGATTTAGAATTGTTTTTCCACACATTTTGCATGAATGCAGTCTATAAATATTACAGTTACTTGATATAACACCATTGGGACAGGAGATATCAGGAATATTGATATTCTATAAATATTACAGTTACTTGATATAACACCATTGGGACAGGAGATATCAGGAATATTGTGACAGGTGTGCTTGATCAGGCAGTACCCTACCACTTGCTTCCTGATAGGGTCTATCCTTACTGGAAACAAAACCAAATCACCCTGTGTGACCAAAAGTGGGTTCTTTCACAGAAAGTGATGGACATGGAGGAAAAGCACCCAGTTTGAGATCAAGAAGCACCATTATTACTCTGAATAGCCAGTTAAACAATGTTCAATAGAAGTACCGCCCAGCTCTCTAGCGGAATTGGCTAAACCGGATTTCGCGGAGACCGGGTGACGTACTCCTTGTGGTCCGGGTTCAATCCCGGGGGTAGGCAGGAAAGCCACATTTTCTCCCAGATTTACGGTATTTACAATGGAATCAAGGCCGAAAGGTTGCGATATCCATAATACCGAACCTAAGGGTTAACAACTCAAGGCTTCTGGATACTAAAACAAAACAAACAAACAAACAACAGAAGTACCCGGTAAGAATTCAAGAAGCACTAAAATTTTCACCAAGGACAACCAGATACAGATCACATTATAAGCTAAGCTTAATAAAGCAGATGGAATTGATCCACTTTTTTTTTTCAAAACCAACAAAGGAATGATAGGGCACATGATGATGCCAGAGCTAAAATCCGTAGCAACTGTAGTTCATAGTCTCTCCTACATTATTTGAATGAATTATTTGAATGTGGTATCTGGTATGGTGCATGTATGCCATAAAAAGATATATTTCTTCCAAAAATGTTTTAAATTACTACATGTATTATAGTTTTTTAAGGACAGTAATTTTATTACATATGTTGAAAATGGCTGAGCACCAGGCTTTTGCTACATCCAGCCACCATGACTTTCCCAGCATATCTCTTGTTCAGATCTTACATCATTATATAAACAGTCTTGCAGGATATAACTTTCCTCACAACCAGCAGGATAGTTTCTTGATTCTTTGCCAGCTGTCTTGTCTGACGCATGTTTGATCCCGGTGTGTTGTAATTCTGTGTTCGCTGTTGTGTTAGCCAACATCTGCATTTTTCTCCCAAGAACCTTGCCCTCCATTGTTGTTCTTTCTTAACCACAGCATTGTTTCATATGGCCAAAGAAATTGTAATATTGAAACATCTGCTTATGACTGCATTCCTTGATGCAGATCCGGAATAATACTTGTAATGTTATTCTTTTTGACTAATTGTATTCTTGGAATTCCAACCCCTTCGTCCCATTTTCAAAAACCCTATTCTGCAGCAAAGAATATTCAGACCCAGATATCCAGTGATGTGTAAACTCTATAGACTGGAGAAGTTTCAACAAACTACAGTCTGCTAAATATCCTTACCCTTTGTATTCCATTTTCTTTTCTTCTGGCATGGTGAACACTTTTGCTGCAAGAAGCTGCACAACTGACACTTCCAATGTGTGCCACCCACCCGTAAATGTTGCTTTACCAACATTGCTTTATTCACAAGAAACCTAGCTAACAACATTGTATCATTTGTGACTGTGCAAACAGTTAGAAGCACTGAGAATTATTATAGTTGCTAACAATATAAATGAGGTGAAGTTTTCTTGTGAAAAGGTGGCTTTTTAAAATGCAAATTATGAGGTTAGAATTTCTTGTAATCTTAGTGGTAATCTGTTGACCTGGTCATGGGTTCAGGAATGAGTCAGGATCTTAATTATTTTTATTTTTTAGGCTCGAAGAGATAAAATTCAAAACAGTTAATTCTCTGCTGCATCCATATTTACTGGTTGCACCTCATATTCTTTGTGTAATTTAATATTGGTTTAGTCCATTAATGGAATTTTTATAATATGTTTCCTCTGTAAAATTATGTTGTTTTTAAAAAAGATTTGTTTTTGCAAATTTCCAAATTAAAAGTCATAAGCTTTTTTTTTTCTAGGCCATCAGGACAACTGAGTTATTTTAATCAAATTTTGCTTTTAAATATGTATATTTGAGTTTAGCATGCATACCATATTGTACAGAAATAGTTGAATACTGTACATTGTCAGTTGATGAAAATAATTGTTCACTGTAGTTTTGGTTAAAGATCACATTCATTACACATTTCTATCTACATTAGTGCTCCAGTCTTCTTCTATAGATTACACAAGCAGAATCTCTGTATAATGAACAAACAATATAGAGCTGAGCCCTAGAATTAAATTGTATACCAGAATCATGCTATGATTTGAATCATACTATGATTTGAAAGAAAACAAATTTTGTTGTTGAAAATTTAGCCTAGGTAGCAGCCTCTTCAACCTTTTATTTTTAATTTCTAACTGCCGAAGGATTTTTAACATTCATAACTTGCACATGGATCTTACATTTTTTTCCCCAGCCCTGTCTGAGAATCCTGGGATCAAGGGACATGTGTAAGATTGTATTGATTCAAGCCAGCATAGGTCCAAGACTGCATACACTAAAGAAGAATGTCATAACATATAAGCAGTTACTTTATTGAAGGTGCCATTCAGGGCTTTTTTTATGGTGGTGAGCAACTCTACACAGTACTGGCACCTTTTTTTAAGGCATTTCTTTTATTACTCCTGTAATAGACTTATAGTACCGACATCTTTTTTCCTAGAAAAAAGTCCTTGTGCCATCTATTGTTTGTTTATTTACATTCATGTTTGTATTTTCAGGTGGAGATGTTTTCATTCACGCAAAATCCAACCAAGTTAGCAAACTGTTTGAACTTGCCCAACTTTTCGTTAGAAGTCTGCCAAAAGACAGTGTCCAGAGTTCTGAAGATATCTACAGTTTTGTGTACCAGAATGGCAGAGACCTGTCGGGATTTATTGATGGTAGGTTGGTTTGAAAGCTGCAACATGTTAGTCATTTTGTCTTGCACTTGTAAGAATTTATTAATGAACATCTGATGTTTATGAGTGTTATGGTGAGTTTTGGTCCCAGATGTGAGGGAGAAGTTGGTGCCATTATGTTGCATATAAAGAGCTATACTTTTATTTCACCTCAGCCAGCAGCTGGCTCTGTGCTAGTTTGATTAAACCTCCTGCAATATGGACTTGATGAATTGCTTGAGGAATGACTGGTAGGTAGTATGTAAGACAGGTGACTGGACAGACACAACTTTCACATGACACAGACTGTATGAAGAAAAAGAAATTACACAACTTTCACATGACACAGACTTGTCTTGTCTTGTCCACAATTGCCTCACAGCGTAGTGGGGAGTCGCAGTTTTCTATCCTGGGCCAGGTGTGTTGCACGTGTTGTTGTTAGTCCGTGTTGCCTCAGGATCTCTGATATATTGTCTTTCTATCGTACTCTTGATGACAGACTGTATGAAGAAAAAGAAATTACACAACTTTCACATGACACAGACTGTATAAAGGAAAAAAAAATTCTAGTTTTTTAAATATGTGCCTTCCCCATGTGTGTTCTGGGGCCCTATTGTTGTTAGACCCACTGCCCTTCCCCCCCCCCCCTTCCCAACAAGCATGTCATAGAAGATGACTACTTAGGGATGATTCCTTCTTCTTCTTCTTCTTCTACGTTCGACATCAGTCATGCTACACATTGAGTCCCGTCTGGGTCAAAAGTAGGATTGTGCGTTTAAGGTCGCCACCGGTCCCCCATAGCTTCTCTCGCAATGTGGATCCCCTGGGCCATATCCACAGTCTTTGCTGGGAGAGGTAAGGGCAGTACTGCAGTATGTGCTCAGGGGTCTTTCTTTCTGCTCCACAATCACAGGCAGCAGATTCTTTTATGCCTATCCTGTACAGGTGTGCTCGAAGACCACAGTGTCCAGTCCAAAGTCTAAAAATTGATGTTTGTTCTTTCCTGTTGAGTTTGTTTATGCTGTCACTCTCTGGTCTGTAATCTCTATTCTGCTTTCTCCACTCCCGCTTGAAAGACTGCTTTAGTGCTGTTTGGTTTCCTTGTAGCTGTGTGGTGGATGAGGTTGTGGAAGATTACTCCCAGCTTTTGCCAACTCATCTGCTCTCTCATTTCCTTGAATACCACAGTGGGCTGGTATCCACTGCAAGACCAGTTCTGCTTCCTTGGAGAGTAAGCCAATGTTGGTCCTTAGATCTGCAATTAGTTTGTCTTGTTTTTTGCTTGATAGTGCTTGGAGAACAGACAATGAGTCACTAAGTATAACAATTTTGTGCCTTCTGTGTTCTTGAGTGATGAGATGTTGGACTGCAGAAAGGAGGGCAGTTGCCTCAGCTCTGAAGTTAGTGCAGATGTCACCTGCTGGTAGAGAGAGAGTTTCTGCTCTACTGCTAGGGGGTTTAATGTATATTCCACAACCCCCTTTCTGACTGCATCTACAGCAGTTGAGTCCAAGTGGTGTTTGGATACTTCTCATCAAGCATAGCAAGAGCCATGGTTCTCTGTTGTGTCTCCGTCTGGGCATCTTTTGAAGTGATCCCTGGTACCTTTAGAACTACATTTGCCTTCTCTGGCTTGCTTGTCCATGGTTCTGGCCTAAGTTTTTCGCACAGAGCTACATCTCTTTCAAGCAGATCTTGGTGCTGTCTGTACAGTTCTCTAGCAATGTGGTTGGGGCTCTGACGCTTCAGTCTGTTTTTTGTTCTCTCTTGAAATTTAAAATGCAGTGGGTGACTTTGAAGTCTTTTTAATTTCTCATACTGTAAAAGAGTTTTGTATTGTCTTCTGAGTTCGAGTGGTTCAGTATCTGCTATCCTCTCTATCTCTCTGATGGGTGTGGATTTCATGACTCCGAAAACAATCCTTAATCCCATATTCTGAACCTTGTCCAGTTTTCTCATTGTTGTCTTGGCTGCTGCAGCCCATGCAGTGGAGGCATATTCCATGACTGGCCTTACTGCTCCAGTATATACTTGTTGTAGGATTCTGGAGTTAGCTCCCCATGTGGTACCCGCTAATTTTTTCATCACTGCAAGCTTCTTGAATGCTTTCCCCTGTACTACTTCTACGTGTGACTTCCAAGTTAGTAGCGAATTAAGTGTAACACCAAGAAAGGTAGGAGTGTCAGTCTGTGGAATGAGCTGGTTTTTTATCTGAATTTTTATTTTTTATTTTTTGGGGGAGAGAGAGAAAAGCTGTGCTTTTTGAATTATTTAGCTTTAGACCCCACTTTTTGGTCCAGGCTTCTACATTTTCCACAGTTTTCTGTAACAGATATGAGGCTGTGGTAGTGTATTCAGAGGCTGTCCAAACTGCAAAGTCACCAGCATATAGGGTATTATAAACGTGCTGGTGGCAGGTTGCTGTGATATCATTTATTTAAACCAGGAACAGAGTTGGTGCTATCACACTGCCCTGGGGAACTCCTTCTCTTAGTTTTGCCAGTTTGCCGACGTGTCCATCAATTCTGAATCTGGCTCTGCGTTGGAAAAGAAAGTCTTTGATCCACTTGTACATGTTATGCACAACTTCTGCCTGTAGCAGTTTTAGTTTTTTCCAAACTATCGAAAGCACGAGAGAGGTAAAAGAAGACAGCAAGAACTTTCTTTTTTTCCTGGAAGGCATTCTCTATTTCCTGTGCCAGATAGGTCAACTGGTCCTCTGTGTTTCTGTGCTGTCTGTATCCTGTCTGTGTGGTGGTGATTAACGAGTTTGTCTCCAAGAACCATATTAGTCTTTTATTTACTAATTTTTCCATCAATTTTCCTACACAACTAAGAAGGCTGATTGGTCTGTAGCTTTTTAAGTCTCTTCTCTCTCCACCCTTTTTAAGGATAGGCTGGATGAGAGCTTCCTTCCAGGCTGACGGTACCACACCTTTTTGCCAGCTCTGGTTGTAAATGCAGAGAAGAAACTTCTTGGCAGCAGGTCCAAGATGAGAGAGAAATTCGTTTGTAATGCCGTCAGCCCCTGGGGCTTTCTTCATTTTCAACTCTCCAATTCCAACTTCCAGCTCTTGCATGGTAAACTTTTCTGACATGCAGGCCTCGGTTGTTTTTGTGCTAGAGTCTGCTAGAAGAGTCTTGGTCTGATTTCGTACTTCTTTTATTCTTTGCATGGTAATATGAACCTCAGTTACCTTCTGGTGTGTTTTAGCTAGCACATCTGCTGCTGCCTTGCCAGTAACAGCTCCATCGTCTGTTAGGAGCACAACTCTGGCTTTTTCTGTCTTGTCTCCATTCAGGCTTTTTGTGAGATTCCACAGACGTGAAGTGTCCTTCTCGAGGTTAAATGACGCTGTCTTTTTGTGCCAACTCTCCCTCATCTGATTATTTCTCTCTTTGATGAAGGCTGCTTTTGCTCTGTTATGAAGTATTATATTTTTATCTGTCGGATCCTTCTCCATATTTTCTCTCATGGTACTAAGTTTGGAATGCAGAGTGTCCAGTTCAGGCGACCAGTAAGGTTTAAAGTTTTTCCTGCTGCCTCGTGGTATGTTACCCTTGGCTGCATTTAGAATAGTTGTGTTGAGGATTTTCAGTTTGGCATTTATTTACAGTCTTCTGAAGAAGACTCTTTTCAACATGTCGTCCAACTGGGAAGTGAAAAGACTCCAGTTAGCCTTCTTGTAGTTCCAGGTGGGAGGGTTCTTTTCCTCAGTAACCTCTCTACTTTTGTTAATAGACAGGATTACCAGCCTGTGATCACTGCCACCCAGCTGCTGACATACATCCCGGCTGGTAACTTTCTCCACATCTTCAGTTGCTATAGCCAAGTCTGGGGTGATAGTTTTCCTCCAAGCTCGAGAGTAGAATGTGTCTGGGTCGTCACGATGATTTATTAGAACTACAGTGTTGCTGATTATCCAGTTTTCTACCTCTTCTCCTTCCGCATTGAGGTCTGTGTAGCCCTAGCTACTTGAGTGGCTATTCAGATCTCCGACAGCAATCCAGTTTTCTGTGTTTAGTAGGATGGGTCCCAGATTAATATCTCTGTTTGGTGGTGAGTAGATGTTGCATACTGTCACATCTCCCCTTGCACCCTTCATAGTGACTGTGATAAACTCTGTATCACCACACTGAGATCTCTGGGTTTCCCAAGCTGTGATCGTGTTCTTGACAGCAGTCAAGACGATTTAACCTGTCATGTCGGAAGATTTGGTATCCCCTGATAGAGAATCTATGTGCGCTTATGAGGTGAGTCTCTTGGATGCAGCATATGTCAATATCGTGCTGCTTCAAGAAATGTTGTAGTTCAGTTTTCTTCAGCCTCACTCCCTCAGCATTCCAGTGCATAATTGTCAGTTTGTGTCCAGCTGCATTACTCTGTTCTTCCCTGGTCGCTCCAGAAGATTCTGAGGTTGTTGCTCTAGTAGCTTGGGGTGGGCCCCTTCGAGGCAGGGAGCCCGGCATCATCCCCACCCGTCCACGTCCCATAGGAATGGCACCATCATAACGTAATAATGTTGTTTGCATGACCATATCGCTAGTGCGTAGATGTCCGATTTTTAGTCCCGTGCCAAGTAGGCTGACATCTTCCGACTTTGACGGTTGAGGTTTATTTTCAGGATTCCCCCTCCCATAGGCTGATTGCCTTCCAGTGCTAATGAGTTCTGCCTACCCACAATTTCTGTCGGGCTTTGTTGCCCTAGCCTTTGTTCTTACGGGAACTTACCACAAGGCAGTGGGGGTTTGGCATTCGGTGTGTAATCAACGAAGCAACAAGTAAAGAAACCTGATATCCTCGAGTATGCAGCGGTGGAAAACATTGCCGTTATGTGTTTGAACTGGTAAGAGGTTTGATTTAAGCAATGAAAACCGATTCACTACGCAAAGTGTTTGCCTTGAAATAATCTTGGTTGCTAGCGCCACACCCGAAGTCCATCTCCTTCTAAGACGGAGTGTTTCTGCCCAAGAGGTGAGGAGCAAACAGTTGACATACAAATAATCCAGATCTGTAAAATGGATGAGCATCAGAACTTAAGTTCTGGAAAAGACTAAAGTCAAGAAGTGGACAAACAACCAAAACTTGCTACCAGACTTTACAGCCAGTAAACACTAAGCAGAAGAAAAAGAAATATATGCCTATCAGCACACTTTAAATTCACACCACAAGTTTCTTTTGATGAGAGTATCCCGATTCTTTTTTAATGAACTGCTTCCTTTTTCCCTGTTTTTAAGGCACAGAGAACCGAGCTGATGATGAAGGGCGACAAGAAGTGGCTGTGGAAAAAGAAACAGGAGGAAGTTATGTTGTAAGTTAAAAAATGTCATATTATGAGATCATTTTGAGGCTTGTTACACGAGGCACCACACCATGTAACTAACATTTCCGCCTATCAGTACCTATCAGTTGTAGCGACCAAGATATCTTGTTGAAGGTCTATGTATACATATATACACTGATGGATTACTGGAATGAGCTGGGAGCAGTTCAGTTATCATACTGCAAGTTGGGATCACAATGTAACTCCTGGAACCTCTCAACAAACTTCAGAGCAGAGCAGTAAGCAGTTATTGATACAACAAAACTGCTTGAGGAAAAAATAAATGACAGTTAAATTGTTTAGGCTTGCTGTAGAGTTATTCCTGGATATCAGTGAAAGCATCTTCAAGCTGTTGTTGAAACTCAAAACACTGTTTAGGGTCTTTAGTTCTGGTAAAATTTTACCTGGGGATATTTTTTTTTTTTTAAAGTAAAATTTCTCTTTGGTTTCATCCAAACTCTTGTAGCAACTAGAGAATGGTCAGTATCACAGTCAGCACTGTGATAGCTGTAAGTTAGTGATACATAGTTCAGGTGCTGCCTCCTTGTGAGAATAAAGTCCAGCAGGTGCCAGTGGCCAGATCTTGGCTGTTTCCATGACACCTTATGGTGGTCTTTAGTTTTCAAAAAGGAATTTGTGACATACGAGTCACTTCTAGTGCAGAATTCCAATAGTCTGTGCCCATTTTCATTCATGTAGCTTACATTATATTTTCCAAGACAAACTGGCCATGAGTTTGAGTCTGACCTCAGGTGAACCTTAAAGTCACCAGGAAGTAGATGCCGTCACATTTAAAAATTAATATCACTGTATTATCCAGTTCCTCTTGAGATAAATCCTTTGAATACTCCGTTGACATTAGAGTGAGGGCATATGCATTAACAAGGGTGATAAAACCGCTTGAGGTAGACAATCATAGAGATAATATTGTCACTTCTTCCACTTGGACTCTGTAGTAAACACATAAATATTCGTTTCATGTAGTAAACACATATATGTTTGTTTCATGTAGTAAACACATATATATTTGTTGACAGATTACCCAAAAATGGATTCATGATTTGGATCTTATCAATACTGAAAAACGTAAGCATAATCTATTTGCTTTTATTTTTCTCATATATGCCTGCATCTTTGTCTTCTTTCTTATTTTGCTCACTTGAAATAGATTATCTTTATCTGCAATATTTTCTAGTTTGATCTTCACTATCTTGTTTAATTCATTCAGTGACTCGTAAAGTTTGGTTTTCACCAGTGTTTCTCTTGGCCATTATATGTGCTTGCTAGAATATGTCTAAAAATATGCAGATTTATTCTGTATGTATACTTGTGGAGGAATTCATTCTATTCAACTTGATAATGTAGATGGGTGTTGAAAACTGCCTTTTGAAAATTTACAATCAGTGAAAACAGGCTGTGCTAGTTGATATTTGTGTGTTTTTCAGATATTGATGTGTAAATATACCAGCATCACCATTACAAAAACATCCAAGCATAACTATGTCTGCTGAGTAACAGATTATAAGTATCATGTCCATACCAACATCATTGTCATCAAGTGCCTTTCGAACTGGCTGGTCGATCGTGTGTTTCCACAGCTTGCAGTCCCCAGCAGCATAAATGGTTTCATGTGCTGACAGACATTGACGACATGACAGAAGGCTGTCAAGAATCTTCTCACTTTGTTTTCTTTTTTCTCACTTTTCACCGAGTTTTCCAGTCATCACATGTTTCAGTTTATTAGTTTCTTTCTTCTCATACCTTGACCATAAAATGATGGTCTCTTTCCGTTGTTTGTGATAAGTTGTCTTCAGGCCCTGTCCTCTTTCAAAACATCTGGATTACTCATTTTGGTTGTGCCAAAAATGTTAATCATTCTTCTGAAAATCCCAGTTATAACCACGGACACTGTTGAAGATTCATACATAAAATGTCCATTTTAGAGATATGCGATGGCTAAGAATGCTTGGCGTTAATGTGTGAAGTGTTTGAAAGAGCCTATAGGCCAGGTCACACTTGGAGGATAAAGGATGGCAGAGTCCCTAAGGATGTCCTTTGTGGTAAATCTCTAATGTGTAGAAAATGTCAAGGTCACCCTCTAGTATTGTACAAAGAAATGTGTGAGCAGCACATGAATGGTATGGGTATTTAGGTGGATTCATGGGAACAAAATGCCATGAGCTATGTTGCATGGAAGGTGAAAATCAAGAAGGGTATAGGAGTAAAGGAGAAGATGATTGCATATAGTTTAAGAGCTGACCATCTATGAAGAAAAACATTAAATTTATGTGATGGCAACAGTGATCCTGAAATGCCCTGCTCCCATGGAAGATTGTTCTTATCTTGAGCTGATCTGGTTAATCACACTCGCCATCACCATGGGCTGTGATTTCCATGCCTCCCTATAGCACAGCATTATTGTCTGGACAGACAGAAAGATGCCAACCATATTCACATGACTAAAGCCACTGCTGCCTGTTGATTACTGAACCACCAGACCAACTCACCAGATTGTTTTATCCCTCGCTGTAGCATGCAGTGTGCTCCCCATCTTTTTAGCGTCACTCTCTTGCTCCCTTCTCTATGTTTTCTGTGTGTGTGTGTGTGTGTCTTACATAATCCTAAAATCCTTATCCTATACTGTTTCATTTTCTTTAATACCTCCATTGTTCTTTCTACATAGTACACATTTCTAACATTCCAGATGCCAGTTCTGGAGATTCCCTTAGGTGAATATTGAATTAAGAATCAACATCCTAGGTGAAAAGAGGTGCGTCAAAGATTCTGACTCCTTTTGGCTTTTTCTGCACTGTGTCATGCTTCTTCTACTAGATGAGCCTCCCCTCATTTTGGTGGGCTGGGTTTTTCTTGTTTCTCTTTTTGACTGTTCCATGGTTGGTTGGTTTTGGTGGCTACTGTTTTTAACAGGATGAAGTAGCCAACTCCAGGCCCAACCCTTTCCTTAGTTGCCTCTTACGACATGCCTGGTAGGGTGCAGGGTTAGTATTCTTTGTTTTCTGTGAGGGCCCCAGTAACACATGGGCGGAATTGCATACATACCACCAATTAAATCAAAAGTAAGCTAGCTTAATTTGGCATTTGGCCACAGTATAGCATTTGATTTGCAGATTCAAGTTCTGTTGTTCTTCTCTCAAATTTAAAAAAAAAAAAACTTTTTTTTTACACAGCAAAGACAATGGAGGGCTGGGTAGGAAGAGATAGAAATGATAGTACAGAACTGCCACGGAAGTCACCGACATCACATGTTGCCAGGATGACTGGAGGTAAGGACAGAGTTGTATCTTTTATCAGAAGAGTTTTTGTGTGTCACAAGCTAGGGCCTCACAGTGTCATGTGATTGTTGACATCGGTAAATTCATTTTTAAAAAGCGTGGTTTAGTCAACATTTCATGAGAAATAAATATTGAGAAGGCACTCCTTTTCCTTCTTCTTCTTCTTTTTCTTCTTCTTCTTATCCTCCTCTTCCTCTTCCTTCCTTTTCCTCATCCTCCTCCATCTTTCTTATTTTTGATCATCGTTATCCTTATTTTCTTTATATTCTGTCCTTTTTCGTTAGAACAAAGTAAACTTTTGATAAAACATCTTCTCTGTTTCCATTTTCTGTTATTTCCTTTCCTGCAATATTATTATTATTCTCTCCTTTATAATTCAGTCTGCCCTGTGAATATTTAAACCTGGTCAATGTAACCTCCAACTCAAAACTGTCAACTGTGGCATGAATATCTAGGCCCTTGCTCAGGTCTACCATTAAAAAAAAATAACTTCATAGTTTCCATGCCTAAAGGTAAGTGAATGAGGCTAACAATTTCACGATTCTCAAGTACTAATGTTCCTTTCTCAAAAAAAAAAAAAAAAATTAACGTTCTCATAGCTTTTCGACAATGGTATAGCAGACATTCCATGGAAGAGACTGGGGCTCACCATGTGATATTCCTGAAGACAGCAAAGATACATTGTAGCCAGTCTTCATTGTGGAGTCAACACAAACAATTAAATTACGTTTTCCATATCTCCTTGATCAGTTTTCTCTATTCATTTCATGAACAAAGCTGTGTTTTTATCCTCACTTGTCCTATTTCTGGAAGCTAGCAATATCTGTGTTTCCTGCGGAACCAGAAACAGTTTCAGGGATGACCTTTTTCAGATATCATCTATTATAAAAGCTGTGGAAAAAACTTCTAGTCTTAGTGGGCCTTTATTATCAAAATGTTTACTTGGAGGGGGGCGGGGGTGTTAAGGGCCCTTACTTGGCACTTTCTAGGGAATAAGGAGAAGACTAAGCTGGCTTAGTTGTATCCAGCATAGATTTTTATTCTTTGAGTACCATAATATATTCCCTTTATGCTTTTGCTTCCCAGCTGAGTCAGATGTTCTTTTAATCGCACTAATGGTCATCAGCTGTTCACTAATAGACCCAAAACAAGACACATTCCTTACAAATGGACACCTCTAACACCAGTAAAGAAACTCAGAAATTTAGTGCCAAGTCCTGCAGAGTTATTAGATTAGAAGTATTAACCATTAGCCAGAATTTTAACCACCCCTACACTTCAGCAAAGCAGTATTCAATTCACACGGCCATTGTTGACTGGATGCTTTACAATTTAAAAATAAATAATTAATGGGGAAACATTTTAGAGCATTAAATAAAGCAGTAGTTAGGAATGTCTCACCCATATGTCGTGTAAGACCCAAGAATTCATTTGGTCTGACCCTCCTAAGAAAACCACAAATAGAAGTTTGACCAAATATAGCAGGCTAAATGTCAAGTTGAGAATTGTGTGTGGCCTAATTATCTAAATGTAATGTTATTAATTCATTGAATGGCATCTAAAGAGAGAGAAATCTGGTGTCCTGTGTGTTCCTTGTACAGTCAGTTTGCCAGAAAATACCTAAAGGCTAAATCAGAAAAAAAAAATACCAGGGCACTAAGAAGACCAAGGTCAGATGAGCAGTAACATCATATATCAAGTCATTGTTTTATAAGAATGCTAGAAGTTGTAAGGGTCCTTTGGGAGCGAGTGATCAGTGCTGAGGCACAAATAGATCATTACAGTTTGAGAAGATTGGTATTGCGAGGAGTTACCAGGGGATCTGGCGGACACTCAACACTTGAGGGAAAGGTGAGATGGATATAGTCACACCATTTGGTACCATCAAAATTAGAACTCTGAACTCGCAGCTGAAGAGGATATAGATAGTTCCGAGTGCTGTGATGTTGATTTTTGATTCAACATTTATTGTTTCACCAGACCTCATTTTATGAAGTAACATTTAAACATCTTTCTTCACAGGCCCTGGTTTTCAGCAGCCTAAACCTGTGGAAATTGTCAGACAGTCTATGCCATTTGGAACATTGACTGGTGAGGCTGGTCTTTTCTTCATTGGCTATGCTGCAGATCCATACAACTTTGAGTTCATGCTGGACAGAATGGTTGGTGCTGGTGGGGATGGGCTCAGTGATGACATAATGAGGTTATCCAGAAATGTAAAGGGCACATACTGGTACTTTCCAGGGGAGAAGGAATTGGCCAAGCTGGCATAGTTACATTCAACATCTGTTTTAATCCTGGAATATTTATCATGTTTTGGAGTGTGCCAATAACCCAAAAACAATTTTTTTGATGTAAAACATTTACTATCGATGTATACTCTTGTTTGTAATCAGATGATACAGAATTTTACTGTACACTTGCCATTTTTGTGCCTTTTAGTTCTACATAGTCGTGAGAGATTAGTGGATTTAATAGTCATAATTTTGTTTGTATCTGTGAACTATGCCAGATTATTTTCATACATTTAAACGTTTGCACACATTTTGTGCATTGTACCTGTATAATACTAAGATAGAATTCTACATGTCAAATATGTTTATGTAAGATCTTATGTTATAGTTTATCTTCTCGGATGTAATTTTGTTATTATTCAGTGAATGGCATCTAGGGAGAACAATCTAGTGTCTTGTTTTCCCTGTACAGTTCATTGATCAGAAAGTGCCTAGAGGCTAAATCAGAAAACATATCAGGGCACTGATGAACAGTAAACAGCTGTAAATTATGGCAGCTTCAAACTAAGTAGGCAGTGTACATTTTGTCTCAAAGGCAAATTATATAAATGTCTCGGTAAAGTATATATATATTTTTTTCACTGTTCAAAAGTTATTAATGGCTGCTTTGTTTCATTACACCTTGTGCATGGCTAGTAACAAGAATGCCTGCACAGGATGTTGCAGAACCAACAGCAGCATTTTTCAGCTGTTATGGCTTTTCAAGGCAGATTTTTTTAAAGTCTGGGAATCATATCTGCCTGGCTTTCAGTCTGATTTATACAGCATCGAGGTCCCTGCCAGTTGCTATGCCTCCAGTCACATAGCTCTTGGAATTATGAACATGTTTTTCTCTTTCAACCACAGTGAAGTGGAGGTGCAGTAGAGAAGACATATGTTGAGTAACTGAATTCATACTTAATAGTAAATCTTCTTTATACATTGTATGATACATTATAGTAAATTCTAGCATATCTGAGACAGCAGATACCCAACTTTTTACTGTGGGTTGCAGTGATTATATTTATTTAATATATAGATATTTATACACAAGGTGAGACAGAATATGAGTTGTTAGAAGTTCTGCGCTTAAGACCTAGTGGCTGACACTAACTTTGTAGTACTGTGATTCTTGTAAAACATGATCAAGCTTCAGTTGTCTCCAGATTTAGAGAGTACAAACTTATTTTGCAAGTAAAGAGTTTAGCTTGTCATCAGCATCATGGAGGAGTAGAGAGTGACAAGTGAAATTGTTTTGAAGATGATAAAATGGTTGCTGGAAAAAATCATCACAAAAATAAGTTTTCTAGTAGCCCTGCCTTGAGTTGTGCTAATGTGTAATGGTGGTGCACTTACTTTCGAGACAGAAAGGAGAACATAAATGTTTCCAAGAGTGGTCATTCTTAAACTGCCAGAAAAGACCCCCCAAAAAAGCGGGATATTTCGTTGTCTGATGACAAAAGACCGTCCTACTATTCCTCATGTGATTGCTGATTCTTTGAGTATTAGTATGCAAAGTTTACCAAGTTATAACCAAGAAACAGCACGAGATTCTTCCTCATGCCTTGGCCACTGAGCAGAAATGGGTGGTCTTTTTTCTTGACAGTACCATCTCCAGTTGTAAAGAAGAATTTGGTGAACAGGAATGTTGCTGTTCTCCACCACCCAATTTACTTTTTATTCCCCAAGTTAAAATTTACTATATAGGGACATTTTCAAAAACCGGAAACATTAAGTATGAGAAGACAAGAAAACTGCTTTCTAGGAAGGCATGAAGAAGCTGAAGTAGCATGCAGACGGGTGTATTGATCATAGGAAATGTATTATGAAGAATAGAAACAGGTGAAGTCCATACAAGAAGTTATTTATGTTTCATAACATTTGTCTAAAAAATTTTGAGGGGCATCTTATACGTGTCTTTATATGTTGGATATTACAAGTTCTGCCTCTGTCGAATTGTTTGTATGGTTAATTTATGCCTAAATGTGGATAAAATATACATGTAAATAACATAAAATGGCCAAATCACATTTTGATGTTGATAATATTACAAGATTTTTTTTTTCGAGAAATACTAAATTTACTTTGAATTTAGAGATATATCTTTTTCAATTAGTGTTAAAAAAAAAAAAAAGTTCTTACAGCTAGATAGAACCAATACTGATGTATGGAAATGAATCAGGGACAGTCAGCAGATGAAAGAATACAGATGTGGTTGTGTAGAAGAAATAAGAACACTATAGGCTGATTAAAGACACAAAGCTGTGTTAGAAGAGACAGTCTATAATCTGATGGCAGGTCATGAGAAGGGGAAAACTGGTGTGTATCATAAGAATAGGAAAGGAGAAGGGGAAAACTGGTGTGTATCATAAGAATAGGAAAGACAGAGAGAAAAAGAAGTAGGAGGAGACAAGAGAGAAGATGTTGGATAGTTGAATGTCATGGCATGGCAGGGCAGAACAACCACATAAGAAATGACTGACAGTATACAAGACATTTGGCTTTGAACAAAAAGAATAAACTGCCACACAGCATGATCTATAAAATTAATATGCTTAAGAAAGTTTGACATAAATAAGTGGAACATAGGTCAAAGTAACATGGTCACAAGGGATTTAAGTGAAAATTACATTTTAGATGAAAGTCTGTGGGACAATATGAATTAAGACAATGTTTCCATAGTGTTGGTACTGTGTGGTCAACAAAAAGTGCATTGATTAGTACATAATAATAGAACTCAGTGTTGTTATGAGCAAGGTTAATCATTATTTATTTTTGAAACATGATGGCAAAGTAGTGCATGTATGCTTTTTCTTTGATTTACTTCTGGTTAATGTGAAGACAGTTTTCTTAAATTATTCATTTCCTGCATATTTATAAGATTTCTGACATATTTACTGTAATGCTTCTGTACCTCATATTGCTTGTTAATTTACATATCTTTTTTAAATGACATAACATATTAATTCTGTATCCTCTTAAAAAATTAAATTTTTCTAATTATATGTATTTCTTATAACTTTTCCTGTTTAGCTTGATTTTGTTATGTAGTGTTTCTTTATATGTAATATTACCCAATCTCTTCAGTGTTGTTGTTGTTTTGTTTTTTTTGGAAAAGAAAAAAAACAGCACCCATTTTCTACTAATGTTTTAATGTAATTCAACTCTACTGTTGTATGCATGTGCTTTCTCAACAGCTATCTGACAGTATGTCAGACTCTGCTTAGTCTTTACCTTTATTGATGCAAATTCTATTTCATTATCTTTGAAGTATAAAATGATAGATACACACTATATTGACTGTATTATCATACTTACATTTGGTATCTAACAGTGTGTGGTAAAAATAATTTGTATCAAATTTAGGATTGGCTGACAGAGATGTCTCACCTTTACTAGAGACAAGAATTTATAAAAAGCTTTTTATTGGGGGGGGGGGGGGGGGGGGGTGAGCAGGGTCACAGTTTGTCATCTGTAGTATTCTAGACCAAATGTTAAGCCACGGGTCCTTCCTCCCCTATAGAAAAACATGTTTGGGATTGCCATAAAAGCTAAAAATAGAAAGAATCGACAAGCAGAGAGTGTACATAGAAACAAATAGGAAAAGCAGATGGATGAAGAGACAGGGTTTCTAGCCGACCAGGAAACCTGAATTTAACCTTAGAATTGCGGCACCAACCTTGAACCTTAGTTTTTAACCTGGGAAAAGACACACTGACCTTGAAAAGCCTGGAATTTTGACTGCTGCAATGCGATCATTGGAAGACCTGCAATTTTCTGCAGTTATGCTTGTTTTGGCTACTTTCATTTACGGTCATTTCAGGTATGAGAGCAGTTTATTATCTGCCATTCTCAGCTTAAATGGCTTGTTGAAGGCTAGCGAAGGGTAGGCTGTGTTGCAGCCCATGGATACATGCAGACAGCAGCGGCATGACATGGGGCGGGAAGGAGCAGCTGCCGTCTTGTGTGCCTTTGTTTCTAGCGGGTTCAACAGTATTAATAGTATAAATAGCTACAGGGCCGTGGTTTCAAGGTCTCCAACTCTCTTTGTCATATTTGTATTTTCCCTTTCTACATCTCTATTTCTTTCCCTTCTTCCTTCTCTCTTCGTCTGCCTATCTCTGTATCTGCATTACCTCTTTCTGGATTTGTCTTCCTCTCTGTCTTTCGCTGTCCCTCCCTTTGTCATCTTTTTTTCTTCCTTCCAACGTCTCTCTTTCCCTTCTTTCCTCTACCTTTATCTGTACATCTTTACACTGTCTCTCCCAGACTACCTCAGCATATGTCTTCCTCCCTCTCTGTATGACTCTCTCTCCCCCTCCCCCTCCCCCCCCCCCTTTTAGGTACCAGGTCAAGAATAGACAGGACTTCAGTTTGCTCCCCTCTGCCACCAAGTCTACAAATAGATCAAAAAATAAAACTATCTCTCTGCTGTTATACCCACATGTGTGGCACGGATAAATTATCTTGCGTGCTCGGTACCCCCTTGAACAAGGCAACAATTTTGTTTCAGTGTTACACTGAGACAACCTTGAAAAAAAACTGAGGAGACCTTGAAAAGCATTGAAATTGATTGGTAAATTTGGCTACCAACCCTGAAGAGAGAAAGGTACTAGAATAATGAGAGAGAATTGAACAGTTAAATTAAACAAGATTGCATAATGGAAGCACACCAATTTTGAATGTAAGGCAGTTTTCCAGTCTTGCAACAACAACAACCAAAAAACACTTACAAAAACATATATTTAAAAAAGTAAAGTAAAGTTCCCTTTTCACGCCTTTCGGTGCATCGGGCATATGGGCAGAGCGTCCCATATTTTTACAGACCATCAGCACTCTGTGGATAATGTGGTCAGCATTACGCCGGCTGTCTTTACTTTCCCAGGACAGCCCATCCTGGTACCCATTTTAGGCTGGGTCGACCTGCGAAGTCCCATACCACGATAAAAATCCACGCAGCCCACGCAGGTTTCGATCGCGGTATGCTGGCTTACGAGTCG